ATACACTCTTACTGTCACATCACCATACATTCTTACTGTCATATCACCATATACTCTTACTGTCATATCACCATACATTCTTACTGTCACATCACCATACACTCTTACTGTCACATCACCATACACTCTTACTGTCACATCACCATACACTCTTACTGACACATCACCATACATTCTTACTGTCATATCACCATACACTCTTACTGTCATATCACCATACACTCTTACTGTCACATCACCATACATTCTTACTGTCACATCAACATACACTCTTACTGTCATATCACCATACATTCTTACTGTCACATCACCATACACTCTTACTGTCACATCACCATACGCTCTTACGGTCATATCACCATACACTCTTACTGTCACATCACCATACACTGTTACTGTCATATCACCATACATTCTTACTGTCACATCACCATACACCCTTACTGTCACATCACCATACACTCTTACTGTCATATCACCATACACTCTTACTGTCACATCACCATACACTCTTACTGTCACATCACCATACATTCTTACTGTCACATCACCATACACTCTTACTGTCACATCACCATACACTCTTTCTGTCACATCACCATACACTCTTACTGTCACATCACCATACACTCTTACTGTCATATCACCATACACTCTTTCTGTCACATCACCATACACTCTTACTGTCACATCACCATACATTCTTACTTTCATATCACCATACATTCTTACTGTCACATCACCATGAACTCTTACTGTCACATCACCATACACTCTTACTGTCATATCACCATACACTCTTACTGTCACATCACCATACACTCTTACTGTCATATCACCATATACTCTTACTGTCATATCACCATACATTCTTACTGTCACATCACCATACGCTCTTACTGTCACATCACCATACATTCTTACTGTCATATCACCATACACTCTTACTATCATATCACCATACACTCTTACTGTCATATCACCATACACTCTTAGTGTCATATCACCATACATTCTTCCTGTCACATCACCATACACTCTTACTGTCATATCACCATACATTCTTACTGTCACATCACCATACACCCTTACTGTCATATCACCATACACTCTTACTGTCATATCACCATATACTCCTACTGTCATATCACTATACATTCTTACTGTCACATCACCATACGCTCTTACTGTCACATCACCATACATTCTTACTGTCATATCACCATACACTCTTACTATCATATCACCATACACTCTTACTGTCATATCACCATACACTCTTAGTGTCATATCACCATACATTCTTACTGTCATATCACCATACACTCTTACTGTCATATCACCATACATTCTTACTGTCACATCACCATACACCCTCACTGTCACATCACCATACACTCTTACTGTCATATCACCATATACTCTTACTGTCATATCACCATACATTCTTACTGTCACATCACCATACACCCTTACTGTCACATCACCATACACTGTTACTGTCATATCACCATACATTCTTACTGTCACATCACCATACACTCTTACTGTCACATCAACATACACTCTTACTGTCACATCACCATACATTCTTACTGTCATATCACCATATACTCTTACTGTCACATCACCATACATTCTTACTGTCACATCACCATACACTCTTACTGTCACATCACCATACACTCTTACTGTCACATCACCATACATTCTTACTGTCATATCACCATATACTCTTACTGTCATATCACCATACATTCTTACTGTCACATCACCATACATTCTTACTGTCACATCACCATACGCTCTTACTGTCACATCACCATACATTCTTACTGTCATATCACCATACACTCTTACTATCATATCACCATACTCTCTTACTGTCATATCACCATACACTCTTAGTGTCATATCACCATACATTCTTACTGTCACATCACCATACACTCTTACTGTCATATCACCATACATTCTTACTGTCACATCACCATACACCCTTACTGTCATATCACCATACACTCTTACTGTCATATCACCATATACTCTTACTGTCATATCACCATACATTCTTACTGTCACATCACCATACGCTCTTACTGTCACATCACCATACATTCTTACTGTCATATCACCATACACTCTTACTATCATATCACCATACACTCTTACTGTCATATCACCATACACTCTTACTGTCATATCACCATACATTCTTACTGTCATATCACCATACACTCTTACTGTTATATCACCATACATTCTTACTGTCACATCACCATACACCCTTACTGTCACATCACCATACACTCTTACTGTCATATCACCATATACTCTTACTGTCATATCACCATACATTCTTACTGTCACATCACCATACACCCTTACTGTCATATCACCAAACATTCTTACTGTCACATCACCATACACTCTTACTGTCACATCACCATACACTCTTACTGTCACATCACCATACATTCTTACTGTCATATCACCATACATTCTTACTGTCACATCACCATACACTCTTACTGTCACATCACCATACATTCTTACTGTCACATCACCATACACTCTTACTGTCACATCACCATACACTCTTACTGTCACATCACCATACATTCTTACTGTCATATCACCATATACTCTTACTGTCATATCACCATACATTCTTACTGTCACATCACCATACACTCTTACTGTCACATCACCATACACTCTTACTGTCACATCACCATACATTCTTACTGTCATATCACCATACACTCTTACTGTCATATCACCATACACTCTTACTGTCACATCACCATACACTCTTACTGTCACATCACCATACATTCTTACTGTCACATCAACATACACTCTTACTGTCATATCACCATACATTCTTACTGTCACATCACCATACACTCTTACTGTCACATCACCATACGCTCTTACTGTCATATCACCATACACTCTTACTGTCACATCACCATACACTGTTACTGTCATATCACCATACATTCTTACTGTCACATCACCATACACCCTTACTGTCACATCGCCATACACTCTTACTGTCACATCACCATATACTCTTACTGTCATATCACCATATACTCTTACTGTCACATCACCATATACTCTTACTGTCACATCACCATATACTCTTACTGTCACATCACCATATACTCTTACTGTCATATCACCATACATTCTTACTGTCACATCACCATATACTCTTACTGTCATATCACCATACATTCTTACTGTCACATCACCATACACCCTTACTGTCATATCACCATACATTCTTACTGTCACATCACCATACACTCTTACTGTCACATCACCATACGCTCTTACTGTCATATCACCATACACTCTTACTGTCATATCACCATACACTCTTACTGTGACATCACCATACACTCTTACTGTCACATCACCATACATTCTTACTGTCATATCACCATACATTCTTACTGTCACATCACCATGCACTCTTACTGTCACATCACCATACACTCTTACTGTCATATCACCATACACTCTTACTGTCACATCACCAGACACTCTTACTGTCAGATCACCATACATTCTTACTGTCACATCACCATACACTCTTACTGTCACATCACCATACACTCTTACTGTCAGATCACCATACATTCTTACTGTCACATCACCATACACTCTTACTGTCACATCACCATACACTCTTACTGTCATATCACCATACACTCTTACTGTCACATCACCATACACTCTTACTGTCATATCACCATACACTCTTACTGTCACATCACCATACACTCTTACTGTCACATCACCATACACTCTTACTGTCACATCACCATACATTCTCACTGTCACATCACCATACATTCTTACTGTCACATCACCATACACTCTTACTGTCGTATCACTATACATTCTCACTGTCATATCACCATACATTCTTACTGTCACATCACCATACATTCTTACTGTCAAATCACCATACACTCTTACTGTCACATCACCATACATTCTTACTGTCATATCACCATACACTCTTACTGTCACATCACCATACACTCTTACTGTCATATCACCATACATTCTTACTGTCACATCACCATACACTCTTACTGTCACATCACCATACATTCTTACTGTCACATCACCATACACTCTTACTGTCATATCACCATACATTCTTACTGTCATATCACCATACATTCTTACTGTCATATCACCATACACTCTTACTGTCATATCACCATACACTTTTACTGTCATATCACAATACACTCTTACTGTCATATCACCATACATTCTTAGTGTCATATCACCATATTCTTAGTGTCACATCACCATACATTCTTACTGTCATATCACCATACACTCTTACTGTCACATCACCATACATTCTTACTGTCACATCACCATACACTCTTACTGTCATATCACCATACATTCTTACTGTCACATCACCATACACTGTTACTGTCATATCACCATACATTCTTACTGTCACATCACCATACACTCTTACTGTCATATCACCATACACTCTTACTGTCATATCACCATACACTCTTACTGTCACATCACAATACATTCTTACTGTCATATCACCATACATTCTTACTGTCATATCACCATACATTCTTACATTCATTCTAACATAACAAGTATAAGCCGAGCCCACGACCTCCCGTTCTCCAGTTAGGGACCCTATCCACTGCACCAGGTAGGCGGGCTGCCCTATACGGAATAGACTGACAATGCATTTCTGGTTATTTCATTCCAGTCCTCCTCCAAGTCGAGAGTCACGTGTCAGCCAGGCACTGCCATCATGGTCGACAACGATGGAACATTTCACTGCACAGGCTGCTCACCGGGAACCTTCTCCAAGGGACACAACTCTGTCTGCCGTCCGTGTCGAGCGTGCCACAGAGGTGTCCTTGAGGCCTGCACAGCTACCCAGAATGCCGTATGTACACCCCACAAAGCCAACGGTGAGCATCGACTGAAAATAATTAGTCATCCTCGATTATCTTCTTGCTATTATGAAAAATACGCTGGATCCATTCAATACAATTGTTTCGTTTTTAGCCTAATTGTTTAAAAAATAGGTGTTAAAAATGGCCATCCAAGCAAATTACACTCACGAGTGAGAAGAGTGTAACAGCTGATATTCCTGAATGTCCAATATAGAGAGGACATTTAAACAGCATCTCCCATCTTCAAGATAATAAGGCACCTGGAAATGATTATGTGATAGCAGGGTTTTTTAAACAATTCTGAGATATTTTGAAACCATATTTGAAACTTATTATGTCCTTTTGGACAGATCCTATGTTCCAGAGCATTGTACAGTGCTTGGTATTATTGTTCCTCTTGACAAACAGGGCGCAACCAGTCATTTGAATAATTATAGAGGCATAGGTCTCCTCGGTACATTAAGTAAATTATTTACTTCAGTTATCACTAAGAGACTTGTTTTCTGAGCGGATTCTTATGATAAAATAAGTGAGTCACAAGCAGGATTTAGAAAGGGATACTCCACCACTGACAATGCTTTTATCCTATATTTTATAATACAGAGATATCTATCAGGCAAAGGAGGGAAGTAATATGCTGCATTCGTAGATTTTGCAAAAGCTTTGACTCAGTGAAAAGGGTTAACTTGTGATCCCTCTTTCAAAGACATTGGCTAAGTAGTAAAATTGGAAAGTTATTGTGCTCTCTGTATAAACATGTGAAGGTGTGTGTCCGGAACAATGGCGCTATATCGGATAATTTTGTAAGTAGCGTGGGTGTCCGACCAGGGTGTGTTTCTATTTTCCTTTTTCATAAATGAATTCGCATATCAAATCCAAAATAATTGCACTTATGGAATACAACTACATCCCGAAACTATTAAATTGTTTCTGCTTCTTTTCGCTGACTATATAGTCATGTTCTCGAGCACAATACATGGCTTGCAAAAGAAAATACATGTATTAGAGATTTTCCATTGGTACCATGAATAGTGAGTGAGTGAGTGAGTGAGTGAGTGAGTGAAATCACGGATTATGTGGGAGTATTTCAGTTATATCACGGCGTGTTACCTTGGAAGTAATATGTGTTACAACAAGTCTAACAAGCATAGTCAGATTAAATCTAAGATTCGAACGCACAATCATGTGGTTTCTGGCTCGCCAAAGGGACGCAACTCAGCACAATGAATTAGGAACCGTGGGCAACAGTACTGTGCCACCAGCGCTAAGGCATAGTTGAGGGCTGTGGATCTAACATAGATGCTTTAGTTTGTTCTAGTTTATATCTAGACGTCCGTTATGGTCTATTTCTAGAGGTCTGTTCTCGTTTATATCTAGACGTCTGTTCTAGTTTATTTCTAGAGGTCTGTTCTAGTTTATTTCTAGAGGTCTGTCCTAGTTTATAGCTGGTGGTCTGTTCTAGTTCATATCTAAACGTATGTTCTAGGAAGGAGTGTGCATTAACGAAATGGTCTAACAATTAATGGGAAACAGCTTGGCAGCTAGAGTGTTAAAGTGCTCCAGCTGAATATCTCGTTCAACAGAGAAAATCTAAAGCAGTATGTTGGCATATTTCTGTCTACAAAGCATTAATGGCTATCTATTACATGCCGTATTGATCTTGATGTAGACAACCTTGAAGCCATTGTAGATACGCTTTGAAATACCTCTTACAATAGACTTCCAACAGAAATGACAACTTGTGACTCTATTTAATTTTCCGACAAATCATATCTGTTCTTGTTTACATCGTGAGTTATAAAATGTATGGTCATTTTGAAAAATAGAAATTGAAATCGATTATCAATTGTGGTTGATGACTTGAATATCAAGATAAAGACAGGGCAATGCTTCAGTTTCATCCAGGTGTATGGGTTTGCCGTTAATTTTTGTGGGCTAAAATGCAGCTGTATTCTTCTTCAGTGCAAATGATGCCATACAGAAACATTAAACAGTAATGAGTACTCTTGTCTCGTTAAACAAATCAAACCAAAAAGAAATCGTGTTTGTTACACAGAGAAGAGGTGCAGGAAATATAAACGACTGAAGAAGGTGAAACTGTTGATGAGAAACTGCAAAGACATATACCCCGACATTGAAAAGCTGTACGTGGTCGCCGGATTTCCCTGCAAGGACAAAGTATGTATAGCATTGAAACACTAAAAGCCGGAGTAAGTGAGTGAGTGAGGAATTTCCGGCATGGCATCAGTCTCAGACGTTCCCCTGCATCAGCATCAAATCGATCAGTCTGTCGTTTTACAACATATTTCTTCAGCACTTCCTGGTCGTAATTTGTAACTGTTTCAGTCAACGGTGTCGCACTTAAATGTTTCCCCACGTATTTCACATTCATTGTGTTTTGTCCAGGACAAGTGTGATACTCATGATGTAACAATAATGGGAAACGGCGGCCCTTCAACAACCGATACGATGCAACGTCAGATAACGTCAAACTCTGGTAAACCTCTACTTGTATCCCGATACAGTAAGCAATACACCTGACCTACGTAACTAATGTGAGGTCAGTTGAAGTGTCTTGGAAAAGACACTGTATATCTTTTACTTAGTAAATATATTCATTAATATACTCCCTTGCAATAACAATATTAATATTTTACAATAAGACTCGTTGTATGTTTTTTTTATTTTCTAGGGTAACTATACGCAAATCTATAATCAACTGATGTATTAATGACGCGTACTGAACGTGCGTGGGGGCCCAACGACTAGGATTAAGTTTTGTGCAGAAGAGCGCGAGTGTGGTCCATCTTTGTCTATGCTTAGACCTACCCATGGCCATACACAATATTATTTCTGTGATGTATTATTTTACTTGACATCTCTCATATGTTTAATGATATATTCACTCATGATAAAACAATATTAAATTCACACATTATCAAACACTATTACATTCACTCATGATAAAACAATTATACATTGACTCATGATCAGACAATGTTACATTCACTGGTGATCACACAATATATTGTGCAACAGTCAAAGCTGTTATCATATAAATTCTTTTCTCATCAGTATGATTATACCTATTTTGATGACATGGCTTTAAAGATTGGTCAATTTGATGACTGAACAACAAATTCATTATGAAGCCACCATTTAGCCTGGTGGTTAAAGCGCTCGATTCCCCACATTGGTACAATTATATGTATATATATTTTTTTTAATTTGAAGTTTACACGATATACAGCCTTTCCATTGGACGAGAGGTCGGTCACATGACCGCGAAATTGACGTTCATAAGTGTATGAACGACACAATTTGACGTTCATACGTTTTTCACGAGACCGTGTTCTTGAAATGATGTAAACTCTGACGAACTACTTCCACATTCCTGGGGAATCCCCTGGGAATTCTCTAGCACGAAAACATACATAAGCGTTCTTTCAGGTCATTTAGAACCTTTATTCTTGGTCTCAGCATTACAGTATACATTGAGAAATGTCACAGAGCGTGATTGTTCACGAAATATCCCCGCTGCTGCCTATCCTAATGGACAAACAAAGAAATGCACATCTAAACTATCGTAGTATCGACTTGACCCGTGTCTAGGCTGACATTGACCGTCTCCAGCAATCTATGAATTTACCTTGACGCATCTTTATTTACCTTTCAATGATCGGCCAGTTGATCAGTGATGACTAAGACATGTAACCGCCACAGGTTTATTAACAACTTCGGAAATCCTTCCCGTCACGTTTATCGTGTCGGCCATTTTGACGTCTTGTACTTGATGTAAATGTATTATGACGCTGTCATTGTGACTGACTTACTGAGGTAGTTCTTTACAGACCTTTCTCATCTAATGAGGATATGATTTGAACACATGTGCTGCGTAAGATTTTTCTGAAGAGCAAGTTGTGCATCCATACGCTCATGCCACCTCTCTTTTTGAGGAACTATTTTACTCGGCAATATAGCTGGTTGTTGTATGGCTGTCAGTGTAAACATGAAGTCACACGTACTAAATGAAATTGTGTTTAGATCTTGGTCTATATCCTTTGAGGTAAGAAATTGTGATAAAAAAAAATATACGATTTGTCTTTCACTTTGTGTGAGTTCATTAGAGTATGAACCTTCATAGATTGAGGGCCAAACATCGTCGCAAGCTCCGACGTTCATACAGTTTGGCCCTCAGGTTCATACTCCATTGAACTCGCACAAAGTGAAGGTCAATTCTTAAGTGAAGCCCATTAATTTCTGGCGTTCCCCGCCGTGATAATGCTGGAATTTTGCTAAAAGCGGCGTAAAACCAAACTCACTCAGTCACTCATGGCATGTTAATGCATATGAGTGTTAAGAAAGCATGTCGCATATCATATTTTGTTTCACGTCCAAAATGTACATCTCTACTGGCTGATGAAGCCAGACACGTACACAATGGTGACATTGAGTAATGGGGTAATGAGCACAACAATTGCTGGGCAGAATTTGAAATTAATAAAAAATATATTACTTGAAGATATTGTAAATAAAGCGACAAAACCCTTTCCATATCCAATAGAAATCGTTTATGAATCACTATCAAGTAGTAATGATACCAGGTGTTCGCGAAAAGGCTAGTGTGTAAGGACGCTGGTGGGCCAATTTTCCAATCAGTCGGGTGTTTCCACTGAAACACGAAATACTAGATAACAACATGACTCCGGCTACTTTGCGTATGATCTGTCTTAGTACTTGTAGCAGCTTTTGGCAGGATCAGTGTTGTAAAAGAGTCACCAGCAGTGAAGGTAAGCTTGGCAACCATATAAAAATAGATTCTACCTTTTTGAAGCCTTGAACAGTTTCACTACTGAAAGAAACTAGATACCTTTGACAAATGCCAACTGTATTTTATTTTTTAGTTACCACAACTCAAGTCTCAATGCAGACGGACATGGTGCCGAACAAGGAAAACTATTTGGAGGAAAGTGAACATGGAGGAGGAACTGTTCCAGCGTTAAGGAGTAAGATTTAGCAAACACCTCTTGTGGACACTTCATTCACTCAAGCAAACGTCTGTGAATGTTTATTTTATGTCAATTGTTGTCAAACAATATATATGAATGTAAACATGCATGTGAAAGGACCAGTATCTTTCTTGTTTTTCAGTCACAGTTGTGTTGGTTTGCGTGGTTGGCGTAGTTTCCTGTGCGGTTGCCATTGTCATGTTCAAACGTAGAACATGTCGAAAGGACATGCTTCTCCCTAGTAATGTTAGTAAAACATCATCACGAAGACATGTCCCGCAGATTCCAACCACCTTAAGTACCTCCAAATACCAACTCTCAATCGAAACACCAACTCGAACTGCTATCGCTAATGAGTATATCACTATGCATGCACATGCAGGACAAAATTCAGTGTTATCAAAGACATTCACCGCCGAGAGGGTATCAGGAATCTCAGGTTGCAGCGAGCTTTCAGGCTATGGGAATATGATCAACACTGAAGACATAGATGCCTGGGATTCACATAGTGATGGGATGGAGTTTGTGCCAATCACATTCATTGCATCATCTACCGCAGAGTCAGAAGGATCAATCCTGGCCAGGTCACTCCACAATGATGAAAACCTCCCTGATATAATGGAGGTTCCACCAGTATATTCATCAGCTATCTATGACGTTAACCTTACTGACAGTCCAGATTATCAGACGAGGGATAAGGTACAGGACCGTGATGAAAATGTTAAGTCTGCAACAATGTTCATCAACGTTGACGACCCACCCTGCAGAGAAACATCATTCCTGCCATTGGTATCCCAAATGTTGGATATTCTGAAACCAGTAAAAAGTGGATGTACTTCGGAAACTACAAATGGTAAGATAAACGATGATGTTGGCATTTCGGGGGTCCATCTGGATGAAGCAGGCACAGGGTCGTTTGATGATATGAGCAATAGTTCAGTGAGTGAAAGAACATGTACGTCACAAGATGCATATTCAGACGACCAGTCAAGCACCTCTCCAAGAAGCAGCACATCTGGTGATGTAACGCCTGTTGAATACCTTCTGATACACAACAAGCACCAAGTCAAAGACACCAACCTGAGAGCAAACACTGAGATTGAGACACAGACTGATGAGAACATTGCACAGTTTCTGTCATTCAAGAGGGCTGCCAGGGGAGACTCTGACAGGCCAACCCAGAAGTCACACGAAACAGATGTCTTATTGTCCAAACGAAGACAATCAACAGAGTTTCTTTACAAAGAAGAACATCAAGCAAACCCTGGCAACTTCCAAGAGTCACTTTCTAAGTCAGCTTCTACCCAGACTCGAAACAATTGTGACAACTCTTTATCAATGTTTGGTCACAAGTGGGATGTTGTCAAGTACATTTCTCCTGATGGTGACGTTGTAACTATACCCACCACAAATATGTCTTTGACCGTCTTTGAAAATTGTGTTCCTGGAGGAGAGACCGTCAGGGTCAGCGGACGATTTTCTGGGGACTCCAATGATATCCTGCCCTACCTGGAGAGTGGATGGGTTGTCACCTCACCGCTCGCCGAGTTTGACATGACATACAAGAGATGGGGCAAGCATGTGAAGGTATTTCTACCCTTCTATCAACGAGATCCAGCGGAAATCTTCAGAGTATGTTATTATCACAGGATTGGAAATGGAGAAATAGAGGTAAGCTGTTGAATGGTCAGTTTATATTTTATCTCGTCATTGTTACTGAATTCACACACATGCTGTAAAGTTGTTGTTCCAAGGCTGAAGATTGTCCACAACCAGTGCTCACAAGGCGTTAGTGAACTCTTGATAACAACACTTAGATATTCGTAAAAGACACAATTGAAACTATAACAAAGAACGTATTATGTATGTCACATGTAGGTTTATATATATGCACAGATTACAGCACCTGCAGTTAATGTTTATGCTTTTGTAAATGTTAATTTCAGCATGGTGTTGTGCCACTGTTTGACAGCAGTCAGAAGCAAGACCTGTACTACATTAAGATGTCAGACCATGTGGAAATCTTCACTATGAGTTTCACCTTGTACCACTGTGCCTGTGATCACATATTTCCACTCTACCTGACGGTACTGGCATTTTCATCTTACAACAAGGACGAGAACGAGGCGGTTGTTCGACTGCATGTGGGAGACAGACTTCTGAGTGATCAGCTTGTGAAATCTGTAGGTGTCTTATGGTTGAAAGACAAATGTTTTCAAGTTCTCCAAATTGCAGTTTCAGGAGATGAATTAACAATTTTAGTTATTAAATATGTAAGTAGTTTTAATTAGCAATTGCATTAGCTGCTGAACGACCATACATTGTTAACGGAATGGGTGAGTGTTGAAATCAACAATTAACCCTCTATATCTCCGGGGCTCGCATCTCGGTAAACCTACATTAACCTCTGGATCTATTCCCTTGGCTCTCGCACACATTACCCGTCCTTGATTTCCTTTGGCCAGTTTGATTGGCTATTCAACTAGGTCTAACGTACAAATCAGAATGCGAGTTACAAACCAGCGTCAGTGTTGGGTTGGCGATATCAACAACATAGCGGCCAGGCACATTGATTACGATAGGGAAATCATTCGGGCGTACTGCTTTTCTTGTATTGTTTCTCAAATTTGGAATAATAATGCCATTCGGCCTGGGGAAACAGGTCCCACATTTATTGGACATTAAGTTGCATCAGGACAACTTCAACTTGCAAGGCGGGTGGAGTTAGCATGGATGCACATTGACGTCATCCACTGTATCCATATCATAACATTCTCACATCTATGATACTACTGATTACATTTATAGCTTACAATATCGAAAAACGCGTGTATGTCTTTGAGCATTCGACGGTCAGAGATTTTAACGCTGCGGGTTCCAAATGAAATTTCAGAGGACTGATTTCTCAATTACACACACCTGTTTCCCTTCTAATTATGATGTGTTAGTTAAAGGATCTGTACCTTAAACGAATATTGTAGTGATATTAGGTTCCCTTCAGTTAATCAATCCCAGGATGTACAAGAACTGTCTCTAGAACTCACCAGCGTGTTTTTTGCAGGAGCTAAAGGAAAAGGAACAAACAGAGAATGGTACAACTTTGAGGAAGTCAACTGATGTACGCGTACTACAAATACACACTGACAGCAGCAGCAGACTGGTGTTCAAATTGACGTTCCCGTCCAACAATTTCCAGTGTCGAGGGGGGACTTCTGTACCACCAGATGGCACCACCCAGGCCTCCACCTGGGAGAACATGTACCCGGAGGAATGCCCCCAGATGCAGGTACGGCTGCTTCATCAGTTTGTTTGTTTGTTTGTTAGTTTGCTGAACGCCACGCCCTGCATGTTCCAGCTATGTGACGGCGGCCTGTACATAATCGAGTCTTGGCCACAGTGATTGACATCATTAGCAACGGTCTACGCAACTGGGATGTGATGACATGTACCAACCAAGTCAGCGAGCCTGACCACCCGAGCCAGTTAGTCGCTTCTTACGACAAGCATGGGTTGCTGAAGACCACTTCTTACACAGATTTCATGGGATCAATTATGTGTAGAATAACCTTTGTTTTCAAGCAATGTTCCCATTTAGGCAACATCATGTTCATTTGTTTTATGTGTGTACTATTGCATATGACGCGTCATATCATTAATTCACTGACGCTAGATCAATTTCATTCTTCTCAAACTATTAGGTGATATTTTGACTAGATATACGTAACTCCTGTTTATATATAAGATATAAGATACCCTTTATAATGATAATAAGTAATATTATTATTATGAAACAGTGAGGTGAGGTGAAATAGGGTTTAACGCCGCGTCCAAGATTATTGCACTTATATAGCGAAGTGCATGCACGAGTATGTGTGTGTGTGGCTGCTTGTACTAGTTGACTGATGCCGATTTATAGTGCTAGCACACTGAGATACCATGCCGCAGTTTAACATGAATACCCCATTCAGACACAGCATACTGACTCCGAGCCGACCAGTCCTTGTTTTAGCCCCTTAATGCAGAGCGCCAGACGGGGTAACAACAAGTACCATATTTTAACGTCTTTTGGTATGACGCGGCTGGGGATCGAACCCCGGACCTTCCGCTCTCCGGGCGGACGCTCTACCACTAGACCACGGAGGCGGTCTATGAAACAGTGAAACACATACTCGTGTATTCACTTTCATTAAACACATGGTTGACATGATAAAAGATTTAAAACTGTGAACTTCCTTGAATGGTGTTTTAGATAATAGATTTGAAACTGCGAACTTCATTGAATGGTGATTTAGATGATAGATTTCAAACTGCGAACTTTATTGAATGTTTTTTTAGCTAAAAGATTTCAAACTGCGAACTTCATTATATGATGATTTAGATAATAGATTTGAAACTGCGAACTTCATTGAAAGGTGATTTAGATGATAGATTTGAAACTGCGAACTTCATTGAATAGTGTTTTAACTGGCATTCTTTTGTTGGCCTTCACTAAGGAGCGTCGATTCTGCGAGATGATGCCATGCCTCTGTACATGCCCAAAGGATGAGCATGGAGTGGTCAGCCATCGGGCAGTCTGTTCATCAGGACACAGCTGTAAGACGGAGATCCAGTGGGCCTATGCTTCTAACCAACTCTCACCCCCCGACGTGTTCCCCTGCAACATCACCATCACCCACGAACTACCCCCGGGCACGGAAGAGGACCGTCAGGGGAACTGTAAAGAGGGGATCACGTTTTTCATGTTAAAAACACCTCATTCCTTTGTAAGTAACTTCTATTCGTTGATGCCAGTAGCTCTAATTAACTGAAGGAAAAGACAAAGTAATAAGAAATAAACCATGTATCATGAATATAGAGCAGTCTGGGGTTTCAAATGATGAAAATATTCAAAGGGAAACGATTTGACAACATTTGACAGGTGTGAAACCACCATACTGTCTCAAAACTAGCTGTCATTAACAAAAATCATGAAAGAAGAGATTGGTCCGGTGCTTCTGACCAATATTAATATTTTCTCCTTTCTTCGGTTTTTGTCACTTTCAATTTACTTTTGTGTCATCCCATCCAACAAGAAACAATCTAACGATAACGGCGACAATTACATAATTAATAGACCATATATTAGGTTTAACCCGCCCCTAGCTAAAGGTTAGACTATAATCACTGCTAAATTCTGCAAGTGCACTGTCTATGCTGAGAGGTAGCGACATACGATGATGTGATGCACAGTGGGCCCTCTCAGTCAGTCCTATTTAGACTTAACTCACGTAGCGCCAATTTGTTGCATTCTGCTCCAGGTACATCCTGACAGAGGGGAGATGCTAGCTCTGGGGGAACTACCATCTGACAAGAAATTCCACACTTCCTTCTCGTCCAGATACAATGCTCCACCATAACAATGCTCCACCATAACGTGCCATTGTAATATTCAAACACCAGTGACATCGTTTGTTTGCTTGTACTCTTGCTTGTGCTGGAACACCTGTTGGTGTCATCACTCATTGGACCTTGACGCCAAGTGAAATCTGTTTCGGTGGATAATCTTGACTTGTTATTCTCCTGCATTGACAATCTATATTTTCCTATTCATGAGATATACTACGTGTACCAATCACTTTGGTTGTGTATGCACAAACATCTTTGCCACTGCTTCTATATGATACCAATACACATTCAACATGCTCAGTATATAACTTCAGCTGTTTTCATACATGATGTGATTTTTAATAAATACCAGAAATGCTTTTCACACAATGTACTCATGTGGAGAATCGAACCCGGGTCTTCGGGTGGAGAGCGAACGCTTTAACCACTTGGCTACCCCACCGCCCACCATTCGTTGTCTTCGTTTGAGAAAAATATAGTAGAATAGTCAATGGGCTCGGAGCCGATGTCAGAAATAGTTGAGCGTTGTCACAGTCGAGGAGCGCATAGAATACAACCAACCAACCAACACTTCGCCAACAGCCTGCCCCACCTTAACAACGACTTATCACTCTACAGACCCGTGAAGATGCGAGGTAGAATAGGTCTTTAGCAGCCCATGCTTGCCATAAAAGGCGAATATGCTTGTCGTGAGAGGCGACTAACGGTATCGGGTGGTCAGGCTCGCTGACTTGGTTGATGCATGTCATCATCTCCAAATTGTGTGGATCGATGTTCATAATATCAATCACTCGATTGTCTGGTCCAGACCCGATTATTTACAGACCACCCTCATATAGCTGGAATATTGCGGAGTACGGCTTTAAACAATAAGCAAACAAACTTTGCCCGACCCAGCCGAGCTCCATCTTTCACCTAGCAGGCGGACCCGTCTTGAGGTCATACCAAATCCCAATGTTTTCCCCATTGGCTTCTATATTGAGGTTTTTCTGTATGTATACATACATAACTAGTAGACATTCACCAACCATTAAATTCCCATGTATGCACAGTCTGGCTTAAACGCTACAATAAAAACACGAAGTTTGGCTAGCTTTGCAAGTTTCTTTTCAGAGTACAGGAAGTAAAACACACTAACCTCTCCTACGATAAGCATAGTCGCTTTTTACGGCAAGCATTGGTTGCTGAAGACCTATTCTACCCCGGATCCTCACGGGTCGGGTCAGGCAAAGGGATAACTCTTTGTATTAAATGGCTAACTAAATGTATTATTGATACTGAAGGTCAAATGGATTTTCTTTAATAAGCCAATTTTAAAGAAGGGTTATTCTAAGTTACCAGTCAAATGACCAATTTCACAAAGAGGCTGGATGGGTAAACCTTTACGTCCATCCAGCAATTGAGACGGGACGCGCCGGCTCGGCTTGGGTCGGGCAAGACAGGGGCACCAGCTCGACCAAAGAGTTGAAGATCGAGAGAGTCGGCTCGGCTTGGGTCGGGCAAGACAGGCGCACCAGCTCGACCAAAGAGTTGAAGATCGGGCGAGTCGGCTCGGCTTGTTTCGGGCAAGACAGGCGCACCAGCTCGACCAAAGAGTTGAAGATCGGGCGAGTCGGCTCGGCTTGGGTCGGGCAAGACGGGTGCTCCGCTCGGCCAAAGAAGGGTCTTGGTTTGGGTCAGGCAAGGCGATGACTGTTTGTGTTAAATTGTTTACTATAAAAAAATATTTCATCCTGGAAACTTCTCAGAACCATGGTTGATTGGACTTATAAGCCAATTTATAATTTCATAAATTACCAGAAAACTGCAGACCAATTTCACAAATAAGCTGCTTGGGTATTTGTTTTACCTCTATTATACACAACGGACTTACTACTTTTATTGAAGAAACCGAATATTCACCTATTACGCAAAATCAGAATCAGTCGTTCGACCAGCAGCTTTTGGGTCATCCCAACGGCCCTCCCCCTCTCTGTCGTGCCATGTCTTTGGTGTGTTGTTTGGTGTTGTGTTCCTACCGTGTCGGGTCAGCTCTTACACAATACAATGGGTCTGCACGTTCATTTCGTGCTACGGCACCTGACATCGTTTTCGCAAAGTGCACATTTTTTACATAAATTTTCAAATTTTCCCGTTTTTTTCCCACGGATTTTCTTTTCTTTTGGACATTAGTTTATAAATCGATTATCTAGTATCGTTCAGTATCAAGCAGCAAAATTGCCTTCCACTGATTTACCCACCGGAACAAAATATAACAAAGACCAGTGCAAACACTTCATCTGGTTCATATTTACAGCAATGCAGAAGGATTTAGAGTGTCAAAGAACTGTTCACCAAACTTCAACTTTCCAATAGCCAACTGTCCATATATTTCGAGCAATATTCCGGCAGCCCCAGTCTTTCTACATTTCACAACGTTTGAGTATGCTCTTTCTCTGAAGATCTCAAAGAGCGTCATACGACTTAGAAATGTTCGATCAACTTGTACCACATGTTCACAAATCTTACACAATATTAACACAATCGCACTCAATCACACAATCACAACATCCCACGATCACGCAATCACACTATCACGCAGTCGCACAATCAAACAATAACACAATCACACATTCACACCTTCAAAAGATCCCACGATCACGTAATCACACAATCACGCAATCACAATATAACGCAATCACACTATCACGCAGTCGCACAATCACTCAGTCACACAATCAAACAATCACACAATCACACAGTCACACAATCAAACAGTCACACAATCAAACAATCACACAATCACGCAGTCACACAATCAAACAATCACACAATCACACAGTCACACAATCAAACAATCACACAATCACACATTCACACCTTCAAAAGATCCCACGATCACGCAATCACAATATAACGCAATCACACTATCACGCAGTCGCACAATCACGCAGTCACACAATCAAACAATCAAACAATCAAACAATCAAACAATCACACTATCACGCAGTCGCACAATCACGCAGTCACACAATCAAACAATCACACAATCACACAGTCACACAATCAAACAGTCACACAATCAAACAATCACACAATCACGCAGTCACACAATCAAACAATCAAACAATCAAACAATCACACAGTCGCGCATTCACGCAGTCACACAATCACGCAGTCACACAATCAAACAATCAAACAATCAAACAATTACACTATCACGCAGTCGCACAATCACGCAGTCACACAATCAAACAATCACACAATCACACAGTCACACAATCAAACAGTCACACAATCAAACAATCACACAATCACGCAGTCACACAATCAAACAATCACACAATCAAACAATTACACTATCACGCAGTCGCACAATCACGCAGTCACACAATCAAACAATCACACAATCACACAGTCACACAATCAAACAGTCACACAATCAAACAATCACACAATCACGCAGTCACACAATCAAACAATCACACAATCAAACAATCACACTATCACGCAGTCGCACAATCACTCAGTCACACAATCAAACAATCACACAATCACACAGTCACACAATCAAACAGTCACACAATCAAACAATCACACAATCACGCAGTCACACAATCAAACAATCACACAATCACACAGTCACACAATCAAACAATCACACAATCACACATTCACACCTTCAAAAGATCCCACGATCACGCAATCACAATATAACGCAATCACACTATCACGCAGTCGCACAATCACGCAGTCACACAATCAAACAATCAAACAATCACACTATCACACAGTCGCGCATTCACGCAGTCACACAATCACGCAGTCACACAATCAAACAATCACACAATCAAACAATCAAACAATCAAACAATCACACTATCACGCAGTCGCACAATCACGCAGTCACACAATCAAACAATCACACAATCACACAATCACACAGTCGCGCATTCACGCAGTCACACAATCAAACAATCACACAATCACACAGTCACACAATCAAACAATCACACAATCACACAGTCGCGCATTCACGCAGTCACACAATCAAACAATCACACAGTCACACAGTCACACAATCAAACAATCACACAGTCACACAGTCGCGCATTCACGCAGTCACACAATCACATACAACCGACAAACAAACTGAACAACAATGCTTGAGAAAACAGCTTCTTTAATATCCGGTTGCTACGTCCGAGGTGCCATGTGCTTGTGTACGTCATAGTTCACCATTTCTTGTGGCAACAGTTGGCGAGGATCCGTCGACCACGGAGTGGTTGTGTCGGACGCTGGTTGCCGTTGTCGGCGATGGAGAGGCCTGAGAAACGGGTTTCCATGGTTCTGATGTCTGCCAGCTGAAACATGATATAAGTTGCAGGTGGATCACTCGGGATCCATGGGGTTTTAGGCGTCCCGCGTTAGGATTTATACCACGAGACGGAGGGCTAACGAGTGACGCATTAAACCCTATGTACCCCGAGCGATCATACTACAACTAATTTATCGTAACGACATGACATCGTAAACGAATTAAAACAAATTCAATTTATAGAAAACAACCGTCGGATTGAGCTGAGGTTAACCTGTGCTATGTCACGTGACATTCACTGACTCGGAAAAAGCGTGCGGCTTTTTGCTTCAAATTGGGGTATTGGGGATTTATTCTGCCTCTTAGAAATCCACGTGCAACCTGAATTCTTCGTGGCAGGGTATAAGGGATTTCTTCTTCCGTTGAGAAATGTATTTCCCTCCAAGGCGGGGTACATATTATTTTACAAAGTGATGTGGACCTCATCACATCTCATCATTCTGACATGAAGGTATGATCAGATAGTTTACAAAGCGGTGATTCCAGGCACCAGCATCCTATGCTTAATGGAACGGGTGGAGACTTGGCTGCGTCATCCTACCCTGACAGCGTGGATTGTGGCTCTTAATATTAATCACTGGGTTGTCTTGTCCAGTCTCGATTATTTTCACTTTGCTGTAAAACAACTTTAAAATTGCAGCGGTATACAAAAATAAACAAATGACTAAAAACTCAAAGATGGGTACATATTTTCTGTTATGCTCTTCACTATCATTATCACACGATAACATCCCCATGTTTGGCACAAAAGCTGCAAAAAATCAGATTGTTATAATTTATGATTCATCGTGACCCGACGGCGCCTTTGCTTGCTGACCCGTGAAGATCCGGGGTAGAATAGGTCTTCAGCAACCCATTCTTGTCTCCCCCGGTGAAGATCCGGAGTAGAACAGGTCTTCAGCAACCCATGCTTGTCTCCCCCGGTGAAGATCCGGGGTAGAATAGGTCTTCAGCAACCCATGCTTGACGTGAAGATCCGGGGTAGCATAGGTCTTCAGCAACCCATTCTTGTCTCCCCCGGTGAAGATCCGGGGTAGAATAGGTCTTCACCAACCCACGCTTGCCGTAAAAGGCGACTATGCTTGTCGTAGGAGGCGACTAAAGGGAACGGGTGGGGAGGCTCGCTGACTTGGTTGATGCATGTCATCGTATCCCAATTGCGTTGATCGATGCTCATGATATCAATCACTCGATTGTCTGGTCCAGACTCGATTATTTCCAGACCGACGTCATATAACTGGAATATTGCCGAGTGCGGCGCAAAACAACACACCAACTTATGTTGCTAGCGTTATCAAGCACTTTTTACCAAGCCTGCATTCGACTATGCCTGCTGTAAAAACATGCTCCCGCCTTCACTGATAGTTGGACTGGCAGTCTCCATGAAGGACAGTAAAAGGCGGCTTTGACTGACATATTCACCAACGATGAACTGTCTCCTTTGGAGTCCGGGTTGAATCTACAGTGATCGGATCATTCAAACTCTTGCCCTCTTTCTTAATTCAAATCTGCGGTTCACATTCACCCTTTGCATAGCAGGACTAATAGAGTGGAGTCATTAACAGTTGTAAACACCTCACAGCAGGACTAATAGAGTGGAGTCATTAACAGTTGTAAACACCTCACAGCAGGACTAATAGAGTGGAGTCATTAACAGTTGTAAACACCTCACAGCAGGACTAATAGAGTGGAGTCATTAACAGTTGTAAACACCTCACAGCAGGACTAATAGAGTGGAGTCATAAACAGTTGTAAACACCTCACAGCAGGACTAATAGAGTGGAGTCATTAACAGTTGTATACACCTCACAGCAGGACTAATAGAGTGGAGTCATTAACAGTTGTAAACACCTCACAGCAGGACTAATAGTGTGGAGTCATTAACAGTTGTAAACACCTCACAGCAGGACTAATAGAGTGGAGTCATTAACAGTTGTAAACACCTCACAGCAGGACTAATAGAGTGGAGTCATTAACAGTTGTATACACCTCACAGCAGGACTAATAGAGTGGAGTCATTAACAGTTGTAAACACCTCACAGCAGGACTAATAGAGTGGAGTCATTAACAGTTGTAAACACCTCACAGCAGGACTAATAGAGTGGAGTCATTAACAGTTGTAAACACCTCACAGCAGGACTAATAGAGTGGAGTCATTAACAGTTGTATACACCTCACAGCAGGACTAATAGAGTGGAGTCATTAACAGTTGTAAACATCTCACAGCAGGACTAATAGAGTGGAGTCATTAACAGTTGTAAACACCTCACAGCAGGACTAATAGAGTGGAGTCATTAACAGTTGTATACACCTAACAGCAGGACTAATAGAGTGGAGTCATTAACAGTTGTATACACCTCACAGCAGGACTAACAGAGTGGAGTCATTAACAGTTGTAAACACCTCACAGCAGGACTAATAGAGTGGAGTCATTAACAGATGTAAACACCTCACTGCAGGACTAATAGAGTGGAGTCATTAACAGATGTAAACACCTCACTGCAGGACTAATAGAGTGGAGTCATTAACAGATGTAAACACCTCACAGCAGGACTAATAGAGTGGAGTCATTAACAGATGTAAACACCTCACTGCAGGACTAATAGAGTGGAGTCATTAACAGATGTAAACACCTCACAGCAGGACTAATAGAGCGGAGTCATTAACAGTTGTAAACACCTCACAGCAGGACTAATAGAGTGGAGTCATTAACAGTTGTAAACACCTCACTGCAGGACTAATAGAGTGGAGTCATTAACAGTTGTAAACACCTCACTGCAGGACTAATAGAGTGGAGTCATAAACAGATGTAAACACCTCACTGCAGGACTAATAGAGTGGAGTCATTAACAGTTGTAAACACCTCACTGCAGGACTAATAGAGTGGAGTCATTAACAGTTGTATACACCTCACAGCAGGACTAATAGAGTGGAGTCATTAACAGTTGTAAACATCTCACAGCAGGACTAATAGAGTGGAGTCATTAACAGTTGTAAACACCTCACAGCAGGACTAATAGAGTGGAGTCATTAACAGTTGTATACACCTAACAGCAGGACTAATAGAGTGGAGCCATTAACAGTTGTATACACCTCACAGCAGGACTAATAGAGTTGAGTCATTAACAGTTGTAAACACCTCACAGCAGGACTAATAGAGTGGAGTCATTAACAGATGTAAACACCTCACTGCAGGACTAATAGAGTGGAGTCATTAACAGATGTAAACACCTCACTGCAGGACTAATAGAGTGGAGTCATTAACAGATGTAAACACCTCACAGCAGGACTAATAGAGTGGAGTCATTAACAGATGTAAACACCTCACTGCAGGACTAATAGAGTGGAGTCATTAACAGATGTAAACACCTCACAGCAGGACTAATAGAGCGGAGTCATTAACAGTTGTAAACACATCACAGCAGGACTAATAGAGTGGAGTCATTAACAGTTGTATACACCTAACAGCAGGACTAATAGAGTGGAGTCATTAACAGATGTAAACACCTCACAGCAGGACTAATAGAGTGGAGTCATTAACAGTTGTAAACACCTCACAGCAGGACTAATAGAGTGGAGTCATTAACAGATGTAAACACCTCACTGCAGGACTACTAGAGTGGAGTCATAAACAGATGTAAACACCTCACTGCAGGACTAATAGAGAGGAGTCATTAACAGATGTAAACACCTCACAGCAGGACTAATAGAGTGGAGTCATTAACAGTTGTAAACACCTCACAGCAGGACTAATAGAGTGGAGTCATTAACAGATGTAAACACCTCACAGCAGGACTAATAGAGTGGAGTCATAAACAGATGTAAACACCTCACTGCAGGACTAATAGAGCGGAGTCATAAGCAGATGTAAACACCTCACTGCAGGACTAATAGAGTGGAGTCATTAACAGTTGTAAACACCTCACTGCAGGACTAATAGAGTGGAGTCATAAACAGATGTAAACACCTCACTGCAGGACTAATAGAGTGGAGTCATTAACAGTTGTAAACACCTCACTGCAGGACTAATAGAGTGGAGTCATAAACAGATGTAAACACCTCACAGCAGGACTAATAGAGTGGAGTCATTAACAGATGTAAACACCTCACTGCAGGACTAATAGAGCAGAGTCATTAACAGTTGTAAACACCTCACTGCAGGACTAATAGAGTGGAGTCATTAACAGTTGTAAACACCTCACAGCAGGACTAATAGAGTGGAGTCATTAACAGATGTAAACACCTCACTGCAGGACTACTAGAGTGGAGTCATAAACAGATGTAAACACCTCACTGCAGGACTAATAGAGAGGAGTCATTAACAGATGTAAACACCTCACAGCAGGACTAATAGAGTGGAGTCATTAACAGTTGTAAACACCTCACAGCAGGACTAATAGAGTGGAGTCATTAACAGATGTAAACACCTCACAGCAGGACTAATAGAGTGGAGTCATAAACAGATGTAAACACCTCACTGCAGGACTAATAGAGCGGAGTCATAAGCAGATGTAAACACCTCACTGCAGGACTAATAGAGTGGAGTCATTAACAGTTGTAAACACCTCACTGCAGGACTAATAGAGTGGAGTCATAAACAGATGTAAACACCTCACTGCAGGACTAATAGAGTGGAGTCATTAACAGTTGTAAACACCTCACTGCAGGACTAATAGAGTGGAGTCATAAACAGATGTAAACACCTCACAGCAGGACTAATAGAGTGGAGTCATTAACAGATGTAAACACCTCACTGCAGGACTAATAGAGCAGAGTCATTAACAGTTGTAAACACCTCACTGCAGGACTAATAGAGTGGAGTCATTAACAGTTGTAAACACCTCACTGCAGGACTTATAGAGTGGAGTCATTAACAGATGTAAACACCTCACTGCAGGACTAATAGAGTGGAGTCATTAACAGATGTAAACACCTCACAGCAGGACCAATAGAGTGGAGTCATTAACAGTTGTAAACACCTCACAG